ATAGAGAATTGTGGCCAATACTGATTTAATCATGAATATAGAGAATTGTGGCCAATACTGATTTAATCATGAATATAGAGAATTGTGGCCAATACTGATTTAATCATGAATATAGAGAATTGTGGCCAATACTGATTTAATCATGAATATAATGTCATACAAATTTTCAACAATTAAGTCTACATTCGTTTTGGTGATGGGAAAAATGAATAGAAATAATTCAGTGAATTTGAAATTGTCTTTAATTTGAATTCTTTACTAAAAAATTCAGTAGATATAACATTCGCGGGTAAAATTATCAAATATAAACAGACAACACTTGTTGGGGGTTGCCAATTTGTTGCTGATGTAATCGTTGTTAGCTCGTTTAAATGTGTCGCAAGAGAAAATTCAATGAAAACACCCAGACTATATCCTCGTCGAAGAAAGTATAGTCTGGATAGAACGAAAATAGCCTTGAAATTCTGTCAATTCATTCGATATGTGGGCGTGTCGTGTCGCGTCGTGTGTAGCGATCGCTTGTATTATTAGGTATAACAAATACAAGTTGAAACCTCACAGTAATAAACTTCCTTGCAGTCTAAATTACAAAATTGTAGTATATTTTGTTACAAGGACTATATTGTTGGTTGATTTGAATATATGTAAATAGTCCTCAGCTACAATGTTAAAATCGTATAATTCATTTAAAAATATCTCAAACCGGGAATTTCTCTTTCTATTTCTAATATGTCTTTTCTATATATCACAGAGTATCTGTCAGTCGTCATTTTAACATTCAAACGTGGAAAATTCTGGACACACATGGATTTGAAGAGTTAAATTTCGACGGTGAGCTGTGAACACTTACTGATTGGCTGAGCTAAAACATATCCGTTTCTGAGACGAAGGTACGATTGGTCAAAAAATGGCTCACCTCTTTCATATACTAAAATTATACCAAGTTTCATAACAAAAAATCTAATGAAAACTGTACACTTTATCACGTTCACAAGCAGATTTTGGGTGTATTTTGTTATTAAATTAATATAAATTAACTCGTCCAATATGAAATATTTCAAAATTTACGTGGTAAATAGCCCTTTGAATGGCTCAAGACTATTTGGCACGCAGTGTTAAATAGCCCCAGCCGACGAAATGAAAGTTCAACAACAAAATACGTCCGTATTACAATGTAAGCGTATAAAAGCATTTTAGTAAACAATTCATGCACACCATGACAACTATTATTAGAAATTTCAATAGTTTAATATGATTATAATATAAATTAAATGTAAAATTCTGTATTAGTATTCTAATAAACCATAAACGCTAGAGTGAAGCCAGTTACAACAAGCAATTTTTTCACACAACTATTATAAAATATTTCAATAGTTTAATATAATCTTAATATTATCTTTCAAATCTGTATTATTGTTATTAATACCGCTAGATTGATCGGATTATTATTGTTATTAATACTAGATTGAAGTCTTGTTTTGTTGCCTTCTTCAGAAGATCAGGGGTGACTATAATAAATATTCATATTATGCTGTGTGTGTATAAAACATATCAGTGAGTAATAATTTGAAGACATTATAACAAATATTGATAGAAATTTGAATAGCTTGATTTTAATATGATGGTAATATCTGTATTAGTATTGAAATGAATCAATCCTATTAGCAGGACCTCGTGATAGGTGACATGTTATACCAGTCGGTGACACATCATCCATTTCCTGTTCAATACAAGATATTACAAGAACTACATACAAATGAGTAATAAACCATTTAATTATAAAAATTTCTTTGAAAAGTGTTTATCGTTTTTTGACCGGGAAAATTTTGAGGTCGTGGGAAAGGCAGTCTACAAAACAATCTATTTATCTTGTCCTAGTGCCTATCGCCTACTTGGGTCCTGTGTATAGATCTGTTGGTGACCACAACTTTCCGAACAGCTACAGAATCCATTCCATGTTTATAGTTTCTTTTTGTCTGATGAATGTTGGTTTGTGAGAAAGTGTGTTTAAAATTATAAAACTACAGTTCCAACACAAATACCAGTATTCCATTGAATTTTCAGGCAGTCTGACTAATAATTATTGTTTAATCAAAAAATTGAATATAACATGACCATGGTAATTCTTCGGCAAATCGAAAGTAGACATCTGTCTGTACTGGAAACGTCTATTTTCATAATTATTCTCCCGCATCCTAATTTCTTCTTATTTCCCCAATAAAATCTTGTGTGTAAAAGCCCCAAAATACTATCTAATTAATCTATTATATGGAAATGAAGCCAAAACGAAAGTCCATTCTTTTCTTACTTTAAAGGGACAGATGCACCATTTTTGACCAGTCATACTTTAGTTTCAGAAACAGCTAAGGTAAGCTAATCAGTAGTAGTGTTCACAGCTCAACGTCGAAATATGAGCCTTCAAAATCCAAGTGTGTCCAGAATTATCCGCGTTTGAATGTGGAAATGACGACTCGTCAATTTAAGATACTCTGTGATATATAGACATATATAGAAATAGTGAGTAAAATTCCTAGTTTGAAGTATTTTTAAAGGAATTATGAGATTTTGGTATATCTCTAGCATCTGCCCCTTTAATTGCTTAAACTGTTTATATTTTTATCAAGGCAAAGACACTCAAAGACTGACAGTACAATTTTCAGACTGCTATTTCAATTCTCATAAAAAAAATTAATGAAAACTTTGCTCAGACAATAGTTGTGGTGAAAACATGACAGGAAGTATAAAATGAACATCAAATGAATCAATGATATATATATAATACATGTAGTTCTGCAAAGAGGGAGACAGAAACTCACTTCTCAAAACCTTTACTTAGATCAAATCTAACTTTTAATAAACCTGTTAATAAACTAAACAATTCAATCTAAAATCTATTTGAGTGTTTTCATGAAACTTGTGATCTTAATGCTGTAATCGGGAACAAGCTCGACTATATACCAAACGATAATATGGGTGAATATCTGGAATTTCTTGATGATAATGATAAATAAAATATTAAAAACTGGTGTTGGATACTTGATGCACTTTGTATTGGCCTAATTATCTCCAAATAAATGAAAAATATGAATTCCCAGTGGCGAGATGCTGCCAAGTTATAGTCCTGGATGATGGGTAACATGGTCATTTGTAGTAGAGTGGAGTTGTGTGGGTGGGGCTCACATCCCCCTGGCCATCACTAGAATGGAAGAGCACTCTGTCTTTGTATAGAGATCACTTATAAGACCAGCAATAGTTAGAGGTTGTCCTTTTCCTATTATTAGTGTATATAGGGGAGAGAAATAGCCATGAGACGTTCTTGAGTCAAAGCCTCGGATCTAGAGGAGGTTATTCTCAGTGGCTCAAAACAAATTTCCCGGAAAGGGGACTTAACCCCTTCATCAATTTGAGCCGCTGGTCATTTCCTGGCGTTGTGGCAGCAAAGACAAAATGTTTTGAAAACGTCACTATCTGAACACAGATTCAAACTGTAAAAGTATTTGCTCAACACTCGAGCTCCAATATGACCAATCAAGCGACGTTTCACATTGCAAAACCATTGAATTGAAATTTTCCCACTCTTACGAAGCTGTCGCGATTCAATGAGAAGGCTTGTGATGCTTTGCGATCATCGCAGATGCACGTCGAACACGGCGTATACCATTGCGAAGCATTGGGATTGTCCACTTTTTCCTTCGCCAATGGTTCGCAAACCATCGCAAAGCGCAGTGGGACTGAGTCATAACATCACAGAACTATCGCCTAATATAATGCTGACCTTTGCAGAATCATCTCCGTTACAAATTTAATGGAACTCCTACACTTTTTCTAAAACTTTGTCGCTATCCATCACAATTAGGCATTGCAAAACTTGCCCACATTTCCCCATCGCCAACCATTGCAGATGGAATGAGGAGAGGACATCATCTTTCTACTGATATTACAATACAGATAAATATAATAAGTTAATAGTAAGTTGGTGCATATAAAAATAGAATTATCTTTAATTACATTTAACTAAATATATCTAAGTTTTAAACAATTATTTTTTAGATTGATTTTATTTGATACGGTCATAAAAATAGATCTGGTTTTATCTTGTAACGCTGTCTGTCTTGTTACTGTGGGGTTCGTGTTAGTCTAGCACTTTGATAAAAGATTACCAATTTATAAAAATATAACAAATTTATTAACAATAATATTTAAAATACTTCAATAAAATATCTATAGTACAATAACTATGTTACTACAACGGTCGTCGTTATTACAACGGTCTTTGTGGTTGACCTAGTTTCTCTCTCTATATGATGCATCGTTTACTTCCGGTGAGTAAAGATTGTTAGAGCTAGAAAAAAACAACAACTGCAATTAATTGATAATGATCAATGACAATTTAATTCTGCAACTTTTTAACCAATGTCAACTTTTACTTTGGTATTTTTTTTATTAATATACATCAATATAGTGATGTTATGTTTAATACAATATGAATTATAATGAAGTTAAAGCTCGGCCTAGGACTCTACTTGACCACAGCCTATACTACTGTCTGATTACGTTGAGCTTTGAATTAAATTTTTTCCTCATTTCAAATTTATGCCATTTGTCTTTGAAATGTCCTGGTGTCAATATAAATATAAGGACACACTTCCTTCTCAGAAAATTCACGTGAAAATTCCCCTCTGTAAAATCATTTTTACAAATAATATTTTTTACAGAATCACATTTCGCCAATTATTGAAATATCAACTTCAACAAATTTTTAGATTGTCTCTGATGAGAATTTTTTGAAATGTGATTTTACAGAAGTTAATTTTCTCTCCAAAATGTGGGTCTTGATCACAATATGATGTAAATTTCTGTAAATAGGCTAATGTGAATTACCTTTCATTTAGACTGAATAAAAACTTATACAGAACATATGGGTGGTGATAATTTCTGTATAGTTGGCTGTACAACAAGTCGTGCAAGAAACAGAGGTTTGAGTTTTTTTCACCTACCAAATGCCAAAAAAACACCCTGAATGGCGGTCAAGAATTCTCCGAATTGTTATAATAATCAGGGAAGATTCACTAAATTTGGAGAAACTAACAGTATGTTCGCGGTATTTTACTCCAGAAAGTCTAATAGAAAATACTGGTACAAGTAAGTTATATTTGTTACTCAAAAACTAAAAGAAATGCTCCAAGAAAACCACCAGTAAGTTAGAGCTATATGGAAACTTATTGGTCTTAGTTATATGAATAATCATTTAAGATTAATTAGACAAATTGCTATTTTAATTCCTGTGTTTATATATAAGCTTACTCTACATGAGGCATCAATGCATTAATTGTTAGATTCTACAAAAAATAGCAGTGGCTCTATGGTCCTGAAAATTTCATTGGGATGATTAAATTGGATAACATAGAGACTCCTAAAGGGAAATCATTATTTGAAATATTTATAAGATATAGTAAAGATAGTTTAAATTATACCATAACATCAGTTTGTAATTTTCTATAAATTTCTATTGATAAAACACTATTCTGAATATGATGAAATAGTCCTTGTGACGTCATATTCAATATAGTGTTTTATCAATAAAAATTAATCTATAACCCTATAACTTATATAAGGATATCATTTGATTTATTTTAATTAGATATTAGTGTATGCTTGAAATCTTACAAAATTCTCTTTCCTAAACTTTAAAATTATAATGTACATTTATTGCTGAAAATACTTGGCAGATAGCTGTCTGTTCATACAGATATTTACTTCTTACAGGTTGTAAGAATTCTACCTTGTACGAACACTTCATTTCAACCGTCCTTCATTGATATAATTCAAAATATTCAAGTACTGAGTGGATGGATACAGAGGCGGAGCCAAAGGGGGGCAGAGAGGGCATCCGCCCCTCCGCACAGCCCTGAAAGCAAGTTTTTCGGGCAAAAATCTTATAACTAAATTAGAAATTCGGGCAATCTCAGATATTTCGCCCCCTCTCGGACGTAAACCTGGCTCCGCCAGTGGATGGATCTATGAACAAAAAGAAATAACTTAATTCTTCATAAATTTGAAAATGGTACATCTCTAAAGGTGGATGTAGATTATGATTTGGTATGCAGACTGTTCTACAACGACTATAGGATTCCAGACACTGGTATAATTCAGTCTGATTTGTATTCTTTTTTGCATAATTTGAAAATTCTGACTTTTGTCTCGGGATCCCTGATAAAAACCTACAGAGTTGTTCTGATATTGATCAGACCCACCACAAAAACCATATTCTTCATGTAAAACTTAAAATGGACAGTCCTCATGTAATTAATAATCAAACTACAATCAGATCAACAATATGTCATGGATCAAGTTAATCAGACGAATATTGGTTGTTCTCACGACCTTTAATTTGTCAGGGTTAGATTACAATTAGAAAGAGATTGTGTAATACCATTATAGATTAGTGAATATTGAATATTTGACTATTCAGTGGTACACCAGTGTCACCTATCACGAGAGTAACGACGTCTTACTGAAAGGATCTGTTCATTGATAGTAATAATACAGAATTTTATATCATATTAAAATCATATTAAACTACTAACATGTTGAACAATAGTTGTCATAGTGTGTACCAATTATTGCTCACTAATATGTTTTTATACACACACAGTATAATAAAGATGTATTTGATCGTCAAAATTTTCCGTCCACTCGTTCGTGCGTCCACACTGGCTTGATTATAATTTCGTCCAATTTGATAAAATTAGGTATGCGTTTGTTTGTTTAATTTGCTTAAATCCGTACAGTAGTTTTCTTGCAATTAACAAAAACAATACAAACTTACAAAGTGTACGTTATGTGCCTTATAGAATAGTTTTGACGTTCAACGCCTGGATTTCTTAAGTTAAAACTTTCATATATCATTATTCAGGGACACATTTTTCTAGATTTTGTTATATCTTTTGTCACAAAATGAAGTCGGAGGCCCACAAGAAAGCTAGGAAAAAGGTGAGGAAAAATGTACACATTTATCTTGTTAAAAAGAATATAAAAAAAGAAAACCGAGTTTAATTGGTCCATATATAAGCCCTACAGACTCACAAAAACAGTTTTTTAACAATGTGTTCCGGTCCGGTTTTTCAAAAGTTTTTATGTTTGATAGGCTATTTTTAATAGAAGAATAGTGAAGATATTCGATAACACTATAAATACTCTTTCCTTTCAAATTACACACTAAGTTATAAGTCCTGTGCCTGTGCTTTCGTAACTTTGTCATTAGTACCAAATTACAACCTATACTCCCTAAGATTTATATTTGGTTGAAAACTAAATTCCAGATCATGTTTAACATGGCATAAGACGTCAGTTGATAGGCATATTCAATATTTCATTATAAATGAATACTTATTTCATTGATAAATCGAATCCAAGGACCATAGTTATATTATATAATAGGCTTATAACAAAAAACACAATGGAATATATTCTGGTATACACGTGTCGTTTTCTGATGAAATGAAGAAAGGGGTAAACATGAGTTAATTTTAGATCCAAAATAGAAAAGGAGACGCATTTGTTTGTTGCACATCCATTTCGTAAACATATAAATACAATTTTTATTCTTTAAACAAAATCGACTTAAAGCTAGATTCTCATTCGATTATCAATAATGTGAACGGACCGACCAACATGGTTACCGATTTTAAATACAAAATACCGTATTCATAGAACAACAGAAAAACTCATGATTTTGAAGGAATACTTTTGATTAACATTCTTTCGAAATAAACTTCGTATAATTTTTTTTTGAATTTTTCAATAATTCAATATATTAACAATTTGAAAGCAAGGCGCCTTTTTCCTCGCTTCTTCGCCTTTTTTCCTCGCTTTGTCGTCTCTCGATTTCTCGGTGAGAAGTCGAGGGTAATATGGCCGCAGCCGGCTTCCATAAAAATGATCTGATATTGATAAAACTGTCTGTGATTATGTATATTGGTAAGATCCCAGGCGTATTGGATATTGATGAAGTTTCTCTTTTAGTTGTTGGTATTGACATAGCTAAAAAAACGTTACAATTTGCTTGTGAATATGATCGAGGCTATAGTTTTGATCAGATTTGAAACCTGGTATGTTTTTGTATGGTAATTAGATGTATGATTTCTTCTATTTTTCGACAAAATATTACCTGTGAATTATTGTAACAAAATTTCATTTTAGTAGGCCTAATTAAGGCTACATAAACTTTTATGTTGTGAGGGGGAATAGCTGCTTGGACGATCACTGGTTTAACAAGCAGTTTATGTTGACTATAACCAGGTGTGTATTGTACCAATTTCAAATAGATCGATTAAATAATAATCAATATTAAATTATAGGTTGAGTCATGTAATATTTCCATTATGACTAGTGAATATTTTTCACGTGGTTTAATTCAACCCATTAAATCATAGCCTCGTTTTCTATAACAGGGGCCTATATAACCTGAGCAGACTTGAGTTGATCACATAACGCACCCTGAAACTCTGAAGAAACTTCGTTATAAGTTTGTGTTTGATATATTGAAGAGTGCCGCTCTAGTCTGTATATTGTTTAGTGTCTTAACAAGTTTGTTGGTTTGTTGAATTTTACCGATTATTTTAATGTGAATTATAATATCAGCTGAAAACAGTATCGATAGTCTCTGTTATATTCTCTATCATGTAAGTTGAATTTTTTTTTTATGAATTTTTAGTTTTAATTATATATAGTAGCCTACTTGGGATCTAAAGTTTTTATATTCTCTTTATAAAAGAATCCTTTTCTTAAGGTTCACCATTTTCGGGTGTTGATTTGGTCCTTGAATTATGTAAATAGTCTTCAGATATACTAGACCTGTACAAAAATCTCATAATTCCTTCAAATATACCTCTAACTAGGAATTCATTTTTTTATTTATTTCGTTCACAAGCTAACCTTCATTCTGAAATTTGGGGTATCCGAAAGTTGAATGTCTTTTTGATACAGTCTCTGACACCCAGACATCTCTAGTCTAAGCTGTGTGTAGACGATGTTTGACTGGGAGCTGTGAACATTATAACCGATTGGCTTAGCTCAACAATTCCCGTTTCTCAGACCAAGGTATGATTGACACCCTAAAATGGCGTAGCATAGATTTTAAATCAGAGAGTTTTTAATAAAATATCGGATGAAAAGGAAGGTGACTCGACAAACTTTCCGAGAGGTCTGATTTTGTTCAGAAATTTGTAAGTGTCTAGTGTCGTCCTGTTATTCTGACGGAATTTAATATCTCATAACATAAAAAAAACTTTTCACATGAAATCTCAATGACTTTATATTACATATTCAAGTTTAATCATTAGTAAGCTTTCCAAAATTTAGACAAATAGAAAGTCAAGCTCACTGGTCGTCGACAAAGTTTGTAGGCACGAGTTACACCTCTCTCAAATATAATGATTTGGACATTAAAAATAACCGAGAGTAGACTCCGAAGACAGACATAAATGAAATTTTGACAGACGTCAGTAGATTGTGACTGATTTTGTCAACTGCTATGTAAATAAATCAATGTGCTATTCAGTTATTAACTATATAATTTTATATATATATTATATTATTATACTGAACATACTTGATTGGCCTAATAGAAGTTTAAAACGTCACTCACGTGCAAGCACAGAATAACAAAAGATTGACTGGTCTACTTGTCTAGATTCCCAGTCTAACCTCTAAATTGCTGAACTATTTTTACATGCATGTTGCATTGTTATTTTTATGATGTTACATTGTTTATGCAAAATCGTGACGACTACTAACATAAGGGTTTTTAACTAGTTGAAAAAAACTCCACCATGACTGGTGAATAAACACGACTGACGATTAGACTAAATTGTGACAACTTCGGGGTCTTACCGATAGAATCTCCGGTTGTCTCCTGTCACTGGTGCGGAAATGTTCTAGCGACGTGTTTTACTTTTCTATTTATTGTGAGATTGGAGATTTTTCATGCTGCCTATTGAATAATTTGTGAGTTATTGCCCTTGTTACCAAATGCCTCGTAAACACTCTTTAAAAGACAGAATATTATTCTTGACGATTTTTGAAGAAACTTGGTGTGAGTATTTGTAATCAGGATGAGCCCTATTGAAAATCAGAAAAATATTTAGTATAAGATTTTGTTCTTGAAATCACTAAAAGGCACGAGTCTTGTCGGATTGACGAAACCTGGTAATATTATATTATTTTTATTCAAGGAAGCTTGCCAGGCAAGGTAATATACGCCCACTGGCATCTTTGATTTTATATAAAAATATTTGGCAGTACAGTAACAATTACCAGTATGAAATATTCAACCTTTAGTCATAAACTTCTTTTGAACTTTTTGAGGCGATACTGAATAATATTACCAAGTTTCATCAGACATCAAACACTCACACCAAGTTTCGTCAAAATCCATCAAGAATTGAACCTTCTAAAGCGTTACAAGCTAAAAATTGAACGCGTTTTCAAGAACAAGGGCAATAACTCATACTAAATATTTTTCGATTTTTCTAATTTTCAATAGGGTTCATCCTTGGGTGATTACAAACACTCATACCAAGTTTCATCAAAATCCGCCAAGAATTAAGCCTTCTAGAGTGTTTATGAGCACTTTAAGAACAAGGGCAATAACTCAAACTAAATATTTTTCGATTTTTCTGATTTTCAATAGGGTTCATCCTTGGTTGATTACAAACAACCATACCAAGTTGTCGAAATCAGTCAAGAATTGTGCCTTGTAGACTGTTTACGAGCAATTGTGGACGGACGGATCGACCGACAGACGGACATACGTGACGACATTTCTAACCAGATTCTCCTCGGCTCGACATCGGAAAGTTCTAAATGAGATTTCTGCAAATAGTTCCAATCTATACTCCCTGATATTGTCATAGACTCGGTGGATTCTGGGTAGATCATTTCCCTCCTTTCTTGACTAGCCGAGCTGCACCGACCGACGTGTCGAGAAGCACTTTAATATCTACGAAGTTGCAAGTATTTTTGTAAATATTTTGGAGGAGAGTTTTTACTCAACTAGCTTATATTTCACATGAGATACAGTCGTATAAACACTAACACTAAATTCAACTATATGAAGTTATATATTTTAGAGAATGGCTGCTACAGTAATTTTAAAGAATAGACATTCTCTCCAGGGTTTGAACCTAACCAATCTTATTAAAAATATACGTGATGGAAAACCTCTATCAGTGGAAGAGATGGCGAGTTTTCAAGAGGGTAAGAGCTTGGCTGATTTGTCTATCCAGGTAATTAGATTTATATTAGTTTTTTACCGTCCCATCATTGTGGTTCTAGAATAGATGTTACTTATTGTCCTTAAAACATCAACTCATAATATTACTGACAGTCTTACATTATCCCGGGTTCATAAAAAATTCAACCTATGAAACAGTTCATTTGAAATCTGACTGAATTATGGTTTCTAGGTACAATTCAATGGAGAGATGTGTGTTTATTGTTATAAGTAATATTATTAAAACAAATATTTTTATAGACCCAAAGATAACAGTATATATTTGAAGATTTTATTCAAGACCTTACCCCACGTTTTCACCATCTCCTATCAAAACCTCTAACCTCTTCCAATCCCCCCCCCCCCCCACCTTATTTTGTTTTTCCGTTATTCATCCTAGATATCTATTTGTAGGAACTTACAACTGCTTTCTCTGACAACTTGCTATCTGAGGAAACATTAGAAGATGTTTTGAAGAAGTCGGGACGTCCTGTTAATCTGTATAATTGTAGACGAGCAATACATGAAGCAATTTGTTTCGCTAACGAGTTTGGTCAGCCGGTATGTTTGTTTTTGTTAATATGGAAATGTCTAAATTCATGACATACATGTAGATTATAATCAGGACATTTAGAAGTAGATGTAATATTAGAATTGTTATTATGTGAATTAAAACGTTGCTCAAATTAAAGGAAGGAGTAGTATATCTATAATAGTGTTTAAATTTTCTAATAGATGTAGATTACTTTATAATGGTCTGAGACTTGAGGCATCATTCTAATTTTATGTTATGGATGGAATAGTTTGAGGTTTCAATTGAAATCTGTATATTTTAGGCATCTGGTAGTAAAGATGGTGATCAAACAGACTATCAACCACCGATGACACGTTCACCTACGACAAGAAAGGTCGAAGAGCATGAACAATCCACCACAGATAGTGTCAAGAAATCTCAAGTAAGTTCACTAGCCTTGAAACATGAGCTCTATTAAACTTGGCTTTTACTTATGTTTGTTACGTTACGTTTGTATATAAACTAAAACTTTTGACGAGGTTGTCTGGTAGGCATCTTGGTGGAGGGGTAAGAGGGGGGGGTGGGGAGGGACAAACAATAATTTCTTGAATTTAAAGAAAACCATCTTCTGATAAAAAATGTCAAGTTTATTTCCTTAACCTTTAAGAAAGTTCTTGATAAATATCAGCACATCACTTGAAGCTTTACCTACATAACATATTCTCAGTTACAGGAATGTTTTTTTGAAATGTTTATCAAATTTCGGTTTTTTTATGGAACGATTATAAAATAAAACAATGTTATTATTTGCTATAATATTTATAATGTCACCATAGTTATCATTTAATTTCTTACCTAACTCTTCAATATACAGAGACAAACACATAATAGACTTTAATTGTGGATCAGAGTTTTGATTATATATTTTGGTCTTGGAACTAACTTGTCAAACTTAAACACAGCTCTCTTATTCCATACTGACACTTGTATGAAGTTTATCTAGGTAATGTCGTGAATTGTTTGTGGCAAGGTTAACCATTTCGTTTCTTTAAAGTGGAGTTCAGCTCACACTGTACACGCATTAGTGGGACACGACCAAAACTTGGTTCTATTGACACTTTTTTGAACATTTCGAAATTCTCTCTACGACATGACACACACGCCTGCATCCTTCGCACACTCCTCGCTTCTAGTTCACGATGACTTTAATCTTAGTCTCTGAAATACGTGTCATTGCTCAAAAGGAATCCGTGCAAGTGTCAGTGTTAGTTTTTTGTTACTTATTTTTTCTTTATTGAACACATCGTTTAGCCTCAAACAACTCAGAGAAAAGATCATATAGGTGAAAACCAGTTTTCTCATCCTCTTCTCTGATGAATAAAATATTGTTTACAAACAAAAATTAATAGGTGAATCTGAAAGAAAATGCAATATCAGACTTCAAATTCCAAATCTAGATCAAAGATATAGCTTGCCAAGCAGGGTAATATACGCCCACTGGCAGCTTTGATTTTATAACCTCTTCAAAATGGCATTATGGAATAGGTCTATCCATATCGGTTAATTGTGGTCTATAAATGTTATTGTATTGAAGGGAAGTAACCCAATTATTGTTTTAGTTTATTAGCCAATCAGTGATTTGCTCAATTGTAGCTACCCCTGTGTAGAATAATAAAATGTCTAAATAAAAAATGACCACGTTTTCTTTTAAATCGACGAATATCCCAATTTGTCAAGAGGTGGCTATAATATTGTTCGCCTCAGATGGTGAATTATACGCCACAGCATGTATTATTAATTATTCAAAACAGAAAGTGCGAAAAAGGGGAAAAAATGCAATTTTGTACCATTCCTGTACATTCAATGGATTTCTGTATGACAGGTCTATTGGCTATAGGCACAACAATGATGATTTCCAATATATGACCAAAAACTTCTAAACTTTAACAAAATTTGAGAGATACCAACCTATTTTGTTGTTTCCACTCATGAAAAGACCAAAAACTGTCAAAAAGCAGGTTTGTTTTGAAACATCATTTAGTAGCAGAAAGGATTCAGACCAGTAATTCATTTTCCATCTGTTTTCATGTTAAATCACGAAAATCAAACTTCTATAACTTTTTCCAGAAATCTCGTAAAAACTTTCCAACATGTCACAAGAAAGCCTGGCCAATACTTAGTTTCTGGACAAAACTTCAATATATCACGACCATGAAAATCTTGAGCTAGCCAAACTGAAAGTAGACCACTACATTTTATCAACATCCGCTCACAAAACGACTATTTTTATAATTATCCTTCTGCCTGAAATTCTCACATCATCTCACAAATTCTGAAAGAAGCAATTTCAAATTCCAAATCTAGACCAAAAATTAGTCAAAAACAGCCAAAAGGGAGGGAGAAAGAGGATTTCTAAAAATAACATACGACATTCATATACAATCATTTACATATAAAGTTTTAGTGGTCTGAGTCCTATATAGGGTAGTAAATTTATTTTTTGGTTTGAATTTTATCTGACATGTATCTGGAGTACACTGTTCAAAAAGTATGCAAATATACACATTTGTAAGCAAATGACAGAGTTTTTACTGATGCACCCCTACCTCAATTAGGCTCTATACTGGATATCAGTTGATGACACGTGTTACTCAACATCAATTATAACTTTCTTATTTCTCCAAATAAATCAATTTCGTAAACACTTTTGAGTTTTCTGATCTAAATCAAGCCTGGAAACCCCCAAAAAATCAGAAAAAATTGCATTACATTTGTTACCTAGTTGGCCTTTGATGTCCTCGCACCATTTATGACTGTTCTTGATGAAATCTTCACAATTTTCATAAAGTTGAACTGGAAAACTGCTTCAGAAATAATCCAGGCTGTTTTCACTGTCTAAAAATCATTCTACAGTCTTCTGATTCCAAGAAAAAAAGCATACCATACACTGAAGTAGATTGTCAGGGCAGGTACCTAATGTAGAGACCTGAATAATACATGTTAAAACCTCAATTAAGATAGCTTGCCAGGCAAGGTAATATACGCCCACTGGCAGCTTGGATTTTGAATAAAAATATTTAGCAGTACAGTAACAATCACCAGTATGAAATATTCATCCTTCTGTCATACACTTCTTTTGAACTCTTTAGCGCAATACTGAATAATATTGAGTATGAGTTATTGCCCTAGTTCTTGAAAACGTGTTCAATTTTTAGCTCGTGAAAACTTTTACCTCTACTTTTACACTAGCACCTTGAGAATTTATACATGTAAACTCTCACTTTTCATCATTTTTCGTACGACTATTTGCAATATGTAAACTTAAAGTACAACTCAAGAACAATAGTTTCATACCAAAATTGTTTATTTTAATATCTTTTGAGTTTCTAAGTTGTGAAAAATTGTCAATTTGGTAATCAGCATTTTCTAGAGTTGGAATAAGCTCAGTTGAATCAGAGATCAAATAATTCTTGTATAGTTCCTGTACGAGCATTAAAGTCACCATTTATGACAAAGTCAGCATCTGGGTATTCACACTGAGCCTTAAGAAGTTTTTCTTCGAACAGTTCAAAACCACATTGGTTTCCATGAATCTTGGCATTTTCAGGTGCCATATATACACAGCACAAAATAACATCAGATTGCCATCCAAAAAATTACTTTTCAAACAACAAAGATAGCTTGCCAGGCAAGGTAATATATGCCCACTGGCAGCTTTGATTTTGAATAAAAATATTTAGCAGTACAGTAACAATCACCAGTATGAAATATTCAACCTTCAGTCATACACTTCTTTTGAACTCTTTAGGGCAATACTGAATAATATTGATCAATTTTTAACTCGTGAAAACTCTAGAAGGCAAATATTCAATCTTCAGTGCGGAACTGAATAATAAAACCAAGTTTTGTCAAAATCCAGTAAGAATCATGCCTTTTAGTGTTCAAGAGCTAAATTTGAAAGCGTTTTCCAGAACAAGGGCAATAACTCATACTAAATATTTTTCAAATATTCTGATTTTCAATAGGGTTCATCCTTGGGTGATTACGAACAATCATACCAGGTTTTGTCAAAATCCGTCAAGAATTGTGTCTTGTAGAGTGTTTACGAGCAATTGTGGACGGACGGACCGACGGACGGGGGTGACGGCAATATATGCCCCCCATTTCATGTGGGCGTATAAAATACTGTTTCTTCAAAATGTTCTTTTAATCTTTTTATACCATTTTGAAAACTGGATCTAACCAATATAATTATTCTACTTCTAACTTTTCCATTATCTCTGACACAGTAAAATGCACTAAAGTTAGGAAAATATCACATATATTGACATCTTGGCTACACCATGTCTCTTGTAGCCATATTATATCAAACTTATCAGGACCCCATTTTGTAGTTTTGATTTCAGTCCATTTATATTCCATGAAACACATTTGAGTTTATCTGTATTGATTAGCCTATGTCTACTCTGATTTTCTTTAACTTTTTCAAAGTCATAAACATGCTGAGAAAAGTCATCTGCCCCTTCCAAACAGGTTTGACCATTTTGTTAATATTCAGACACTAATTCATCCAAAGTATACAGTTTTTTATTAACTACAAGTTTGTCATATTTCATATAGGCAGTGTTTCCCTCTTCACGGGCCTTCACTAAATATTTAGTCAGTTGTTTTCGTGTTTGACAGACTTTATAGGAATAATCAGATGTGATAAAAATACCAGAGTCAAGAGTTTTCTCTGGCAGCTTTAATCAGAACATTTTTGTCAGTTTCCTCAGCTTTACAATCATATACCTCTCTTTTAGTGGTATCACTCTCTCCATATCAATATCTTGATGTAGACCCAGTTTATTTACAAACATTTCCTGCAGTTTCTCTTCAGCCTGACCTTCACCTTTTGCTTCCCAAATATCCAGTCCTACAATGACTACATTATTTCTTTTGCTATCATTTTCTATTTTGTCTAGCTTTTCTTCCAACTCTCTCACCTTCTTTTTCATTTCCTTGTTGTCACCTTTTACATCTTCAAATACTGCCTTGTTTCTTTCAGCTCGCTTCTGATATCTTTCATTGTTACAGATAGACCTTTTACCTCCGACTGCAATGTTGAAAGCTCACTGACACCATTTTTAATATCTTTCATTTCACGCCACATTTCTTTGAAGATATCTATTAAATTTGACTCATCTGTAACATATTCAATATCAAATTTTGATTTACCAGACTTCTTGGGTGGACCTGGGATTGTTTCTATATCGCCTGCTAGTATTAGCATTAGTAGAACGATACAAAAATATAAAAAGTAGCTCATTTCGTGGAACTGAACTTTCCTGGTTGCCATCTTCCAATCATCCCTATATCATCATTATTCTACTATAGTACACTGGAAAATTAGGAAATTATAACTCATCCATTTGTTTATCAAATCTGATATTCATTTCCCCATTTGATCTCATTTCAAGGTTTTTTATCAATATTTTGGATTAAGTGATTATAGAAGGATTTACAACCCTTTATGTCATTTAGTAATTTCCTAATAAATAACAAATAACCTGGCTGTAATGTATCATAACTGATTCCAGGATTTTATTTGTTAATAAGCCATATACGCCCATCACGGCATGCGGATGGTAAATATTCAAGATTTTGGGGCATGGGCAATAACTCTACTTTTACCGGTAAAAAAATTCAAACTTGATCTTTGTTTTGTGAGGGAGCCACGGTGGCTCAGTGAGTTAGACGCTTGCTCGCTAACCTGAAGGTCCGGGGTTCAATCCCGGCATAGTTCGAGATAATACCTTCGGATTTTTCAACCCGGTTTCCCCCTGTCAGTGATGCAGGTAAGAGGGGCTGACATGGAAAAAGCGTCTAGTCGTTCAGATGGGACAATAAACCGAGGCCCTGTGTGCTACAGGCTGTG